GACGACGGACAAAAGGCGATCGCAATAGGTCACTTGAGACTTTGTCTCAGGTGACCTAATTATTTCCCCCGATCATTTTGACATACCTGTTCAAATAATATTGTTCTGTTTCAAATGAGACGTCACATGCATCATTTAATCATTATCACCTGACACAATACAAACTCCTGGAATATCTCTTCCCTACACCCCTAGATATGGGATCATACCAACAGGTACTGAAGCATGCTCTTACCACGTTCCTGCCAGCATGTCGGTAAGAACTCACGAATTATCATCTCAATCAGCCCCGGGCACTGCACCACCTTTAAACATAAAACATAAGCATATAATTAATGAATTTAGATATATACATACAGAACAAAACAAAATTACAAAGGGTTATTTTCACTTTCAAATCATATGGAAGATATGACCACAGTTATTCAACGACAAGGAGAGATGGACCTTGCAATGTAAACACATGGGATGATTTTGACCATAGTTTTTGAGGCCTGCAGTAGTTTCTGTGTAAGATTTATTCAAAGTGGAGCTCTGTTAACAGATTGTTGAACCATTCTTATTACTGTAAAACACTTTAACCCCGGCAAAATGTTACCGACTGGTCATCTGAAGCAAATTTGGTCCGGCCTTTCTTTTGTTTATGAATTATATAAATGGATATTTAGATAACGATCGATGTTCACAATGTCGAACTTGCTCCTTGAGGTGAAAGAGGAACAAATTAAAAGGGGGCCAAAAAATTCCATCTGACTATTACTATTACTCAACATTCAACAAAGAATGAAAAACTACCCTGACATGTTATCCTTGACATGTTATAGCATAACTGACATGTTATAGCATAACTGGCCTGTAAGCTTAACACCACAACTAAATTTAAAAAGAAGCAACTCAGGACTGAGTTATATGAATCTTACAAATGAAGTCAAGAACAGTAAGATCAGTAAGAAAGGTTTCTACTTCACAGATATATTCCAGATACATGAACCTATCACAACACTTCACACCCACCCAAATCTGCTTGGCACCCACATATTTTAACTTTGGATTATACCTGCCATTCTCTCTTGAGTACTGACGATATCCTGCCAAACAATCTCTTTTGAGTATATAGGGTTTAATTTTGTTTAAAGTCCTATTAACAGCTAAGGTCATTTAAGGATGTGCCTCCATGTGTGTAGTATATGCATGCTTGCGTGTGTGTATGCAGGAGACAGGGTATGTTGTGGGCTTGCCTCCTTGTGATAGTGCAGATCTGATGCCGACTTTATAGTGCTATCTCACTGAAGTACCATGCCGAAAGCGCCCAGCACAGCATTCCACCCGTTCACATTATACTGACAACGGGTGAACTAGTTGTTGCCATTCCCCTTAATGCTGAGCGTTAAGCAGGGAATAACAACTACCATTTTTAAGGACTTTAGTATGTCCTGGCCTGGGAACAGAACAGAACCCATTGCCTTCCTCACCAAGCAAGGCGCTAGGAAATAGAAGGTAGTTAGATGTAGAAAGAAGGATAAGATTCCCAAATATTGCAATGGGTGCAGCAGATTTATTTTGGTCACTTTTGTGAAACCAAACAGAGGACACCAAAGCAAATCTCCAATTCTGCAGGGGGTTCCCACATTAGCAGTGGGTAACAGCACTGACCCCCCACCGACAGGGGAGTGTTGAGTATATAGATGAGGCTTTCTTTCATATGTGACATTCTAAACAAACCCATATAAAACTGAGATTTTCAGAAGTCAGTTCATTTGATATGAAAAAGCCAATCTGAGAGACTGAAAACTGTTGGTCTGTATACAGACAAACACAAATGAATTGATAAAAAGCTACTTTATATGCCACTGTGGTGGAATGTTGTACCATCCGCGTTAGGATACCAATGATGTGCAGCACAGTAGGGGCCTGGGGGCGCCACTGGTCTAGGAGGAACCGTATCCTTGGTAACAGGTTCATTCTCTCCACAAGACACTGAAATATGGAGATCATATAAAGAAAATCTGAGCAGCTAAAAAGATCAGGGAAAAAAATACATAAATAAGTATCTTCCATATTTCTCTCTAAACTGTAAAATAATCAGCTCTAAAGTAATGTGATATTTGTTATATCACCCTGACATGCAATAATCAATTACTTGGCAGGAAACTGTTGCTCTATGTAGTTTAAAACCTGTTTTTTTTCCATTCCTTTTCTCTCTCCATTGTGATTGATATAACAAATAGAACTATCTCCAATTTTTTGCTCTTACATAACAATGTGTCTTACTCATTTCTTCATTGACACAAAATCATCAATTTTTCTATTTTCATTATTTAGTATAGAATTTGAGCAAGCAGCAAACGACATCATCAAAATCTTTAGTTATTAAACTCTACATAACCTCTGTATCTGTAACATCCTTAGCATTATCAGGGCTTATCTGTTCATATCTGATTTAGTTCAGCAAGCAACTTTTGTATCATTTTTTCAATACAAATGTTGTGAAAAATCACGAGAAGTTAACAAAACATTTTCTAGTATAAATATATGAGTATTAATTAATCCCTGAGAAACCTTTGTTTCAGAAAGCCGGAGGGCAAAAATTTAACGTGACAAAAAAATTAAAATTAAAGAAGGAAATAAAGTTTCAAGAACTAAAGACTCATTATAGTTTAACAGTTAAAAGTTATTTTCAAAAAACTTTGTGGAGTTGACGCCTGCAACGGCAGTGATGTAAACCCTACTTTAATGCATGAGCTGATTTAAACATCAATGTTTAAAAAAAAAAGAGTTATATTGATTTAATAGACATAGGAGACTAACAAATCATCTTGTAAATCATAAGTAAGGAATGCCATCTATTACAAATCTGGTTGTGTCGTATACCATACAAAGACATCTTACCAAGACAACATCACGTTTGAGAATATCTGCATCAGTTTCCTGTGGAGTGTTTTCGTCATCGTCTTCCTTTGTTGTCATCTGATCCTGTGATGGGTTCATTGTCGTGACGACATGACCTTGATACCAGGGAAACACACTGTCCAGTGCAAGCTGTTGTAAAACAAAATCAACAATGTAGACTTTTTATTGGATAAATTGTTGTCAAGAAATTCCAAAATAAATATTGCTTAATAAATAAATATACACTTTTATAATGTACCAGGTAATTTTTACTTCAAACCAATAGAAGTTATTCGGTTTTTTTCAATGCATGATGTTTAATATGCTACTCAGCTACCTAAAGATGTGTACAAGAAATGATTGATCGTGATTTCAAAGTACAAAAATAAAATTGGAAAGGTAAAATACAATCTATTCTGTTAATTGTACCAAAAGAAATATTTCTTGTTTCTTGGTAAATACCAGTAAAATTTTAATTGGTTGGAGAAATAGATATTGTGGAGGTATATTATTATGCAGAATTTTTACTTGCTAAAAATATGAAGAGTATGAAACATAACAACAAATGCAGGGAAGGGAGATAACTGTGTCCAATTCTACCTCACATAGAAGGAGTATAGAGGGTGACACCATAGTGTCAAGACAAACCTCATCCGCAGGATTGACCAGTAGACTATGTAGAGCATGCACGGCCGCTGACAGAACCATGTCAATCTTATCGTCCATAGCCCAGCGCACCAGGAACACCACACCCCCATCTAACACAGCAGGGAGTATAGGGGACTGGACCAGTTGGCACAGCTCACCACTGCGGGCCTGGAAAGGGATGAGACAAGAGTATTACTTCAGCATAGTCGAGATACCTTCACTGCAGTATAAAGTGAAATAATGTCCACTGTGACTTCACATTATTAAAGTGAGATCTAATTACAATGTCCAGTCAAATGTCCCATCACATTGTACTGTCTGAAGGATCACTGAAAATCTCCTGCTGTTTCAGGGAATATATACCGCAGGAAAGTCTATTGTTTTGAAAATATAACATACGAGCTGCCATACTATAGGAATCCAGGATATTCATTGGGAAACCATTAAATATCCTCTGTAGTCCACACTTCACCGTTGAATATCACCTATTTATTACATTTTTGCCAGTGAAATATCGGATTCTATCAACTTGACAAAACTGACAAATATCAAAAGTGATATTTTCAGTGTGAAAATATCACTTTTTGGTATTGACCAAACATAATGGTATCTTCAATTCGCTGCATTCAAAGGCAACAATTTTTTGTTCAGATTCAAATGAAGCAGTATAATAATTGGTTGTTATGGTAAGTGTTTGGTACACACACTTAAGTATTTACATGAATATACAATTAATAACATTTTTATAAGCAATCATATCAGAAAATAGCAGAAAACGTCAGAATTGCTGTGAGAATACCATTCAAAATGGCGCGCAGCCTTGTTGTCAAGGGTGACGTCATTAGAATATGGCACTAATTATTACGCTATGCACTCATGAAAAATATCAATATATTAGCCACACTCGTGAAATATATTTGTTATTACTGAAGATACCATTAAATATCCTCTATACATTTTGTATCATATCATTATGCTCTTAAAACTAAACTGCGTAGAAGAGAAATGAGAAAAAAACTACCCTGGAGAAGATCCGAGCCATCGTGGTGAAAGCTATGACTCGCTGCTGTGTGTTGGTACTCCGGGCCAGCAGGAACAGTTCCTCCAGAGTGTATCCCGCTCTCTACAAGTCATCAAACAATAATCATCCCTACAAATCTACTCTCAACATTTATACGGTTTGACATTGATTTCCACATGTAGCCAGTACAGGGTTAAAGGATACCACTAGATACATAAAAACATCCCCTTGACCATCAACAAAGCATTAACAACACCCAAGATTGTCCCAGCCCTTTTTTTCTGCTGAGCTCTGATTTTATATTTCAAGACTTACGATACCATAGATATTAAAATATTCTACAGTATTTTTTTGATAAAAAAAAAATTGAGACTGACCAAACCTTAGAAACCTAGTGTGTGTTTTATTTCGAAAAAAAAGAGAATTTCAAATACTTGTCATATCTTAGAAACTAGCCTTATTTCAATACTGAAATAATTTTAACTGAATTTCTTGAACTCCTTAGGTTGTTTTTTTTCATTACATATTTCAGAACATGCGAGTGAATGTGAGAGTGTGCTAGAAAGTAAATTTTAAAATTCAATGATTAACTTAGAATATTATTTGGATGACGGTGAGATAACATGACACATTTACTGGAAATGTATGTTGGGTTATTGCTTACCTCTGGTTCATTACCATGGTGATGTAATCCAGAGGTCACAGGAAGGTCAAGGTCAGCATGTACCAGTTGACCTTTAAAGTCAAATCTTGCTTGCTGACCAGTCTAGAAATCATAAACACTTGTCAACCAGTGCAGCATAAAAAGGAAAGAAGCAGGAAATATAAAAACTAACAAATAATCTATTGACTAGGGCCGTTTTCCTTTATCCCGTTCCAAACGGTTGAACCTGTTACACCAGAGTTGTTCGTTAATGAAATAAGGTTGGACCTAGAAATCTGATGCTGCTTTCAGGCGAGCCACGACAAAGCCTTGCAAGTCCTGCATAAACATTTGCAGGTTCTCTAGTATTTATACCTGAAATATTGCATTAAAAAACAGACAAACCATTTGTTCCATATAAATGAACAGGCCCTAGATCTGTAAGTCAAAGGCTATCAAACTTCCATAAAAACAGCCTGATCAAAACAATGAGTACAGGTGGACAATTTTAGAATAAAATAATTACATCACTGAATCAGTGGAGTTTCATTAAGTCTGGTTAAAACTATAGGAGGATTTGTTTGCACAAGATTTGATTTTTTGGAAAAAAAGTAACACAGCTACAAGAAAAACAGCTAATTCAAAAAAGGGGGTGTAGGTGTGCAGCTTCAGAGTGTGGCGACTATAACAGTTAACTCTCCTGAAATTACGATAAAAACTGTAGGAGGCGGCCTACAGACTGACAAACAGATGGACAAACAACCTCATTTTGTGGCAAGTTGGAGGGATAGGGATGGGGGATATTATGTAATCAATAGTTCAGTATACACTGTATCAAGATTGAATTTAATTAACTACACTGATATTAATTATTTTTCTATAATATAATGTAGTCTTTCTGTTGATAATTGACGATGGGCATTCACTTACATGCTTTATATCATATTGTATCTATAACAAATACTACCTGCGTGTCTCCCGTTTTAGGGGCAGGTAACTCCTTCATCCAGGATAACTTGTCATATTCTGCTTTATCCATGTTCACCCACTCTCTCCTGGGTTTAACAGGTAATTCCTCCTCACCTAAACATGGGGTAAATCATTATAAGGAAATGACATTGTGACATTTTCATTTAGACTTGAAAGCTTACAAAAGAGATATCAAAGCAGCAATGTGAATGAAATTGAAATGCAAACCAAAAATGAAAACGGTCATTTCAGGTCAAAAACGCAAAAATAACCTACTACATGGTAAGAGGAAGGAATTAGTGTTAATTGGATAGAATTCGGTTTTGTGCCTTGTTCCAGTAAGTGAACAACAGTTTTGACACAATATCACACTGTGTCTGCCTCATGACCAATGATAACTTACTCAGAGTAACTGACTCAGTCTTAACCCTCTGTGATGATTCTGTCTCCAAAGGCGGTCTGGGTGGAACGGTGGATTCCAACACTGGGTTTTCTTTTTTTGATTTTGACTTTATAAAAGACAACAGCTTCGGATCTGAACAGATAAAGACACAAAACAAGCTATGAAGTTCATGTAAGATTTCACAACTAAAGATGCACTTGTATACTGCATTTCTTTTAAAGACTAGTAATTATGATGTTATTATTTGACCAAAGAATCGCTGCAATGCAACAATCTCTACTTATCCTCCTGACCTACCCAGCATTTCAATAAGCCTCTGTTGTTCCTGTTGGATTTCTGCCTCTGACATGGCTGAAAGTTTCTCTGTGTTTTCGTCATGAATCTGCCGGGCAGCATCCTTCCCAAAGGTAGCACTAAGGCCAATTCCTTCCACTAGGTGGGGTCCCTCTGCACCTGTAACAAACATGTCTGTTCTAAGTGTGGAGCTGAATCATATCTTGTATTTACAGAAATATAATATGAAATGATACAGTATTAAAATCAGTTGATTTCAGTGTATTCTACACTTTTTCCCCACTCAGCTTGGGAGAATTTTTTTTTAACTCAATCGGTAGAGTGTCAGACTAGTAAACCGAAGGTCGCAGGTTCAACCCCTAGGCATTAAAAAGAACAACCTCTCTTACAATGGCACTCAGCATGGGGCCCTGGAAAATATTGACAAAAATACTCAACAATACTTTGACAAGAATTGCTATAATCCCCTGAAAACTCATGAAGAGTTCTTTCCTAGAGGAGGAGATTGTCACCCTGGTAAAATACTAGTTACTCCCTGCTGATTCGGCTAGTCATTGATTCAGTTGTTCTTAGTACTGTTGATTACATCCGTCTCCATGGTTGATAACGAGATTGTGGCTGTCTTACCTGAGACGACAGTTTCCATAGAGGCATGTGATGACGATGATGAACCTGTTGAAACCTTTGCTTCTTCTTGTTCTAACATGACACCAAAGTATCCCGCACCCCGCGCAGAAAATTGCTGGGCAAACAAACTCTTCTTCTTACCATGACTAGCAGCCTCTTTCTATAACCAAAGAGGAAAATGGAATCAAATTCATAACCAAATGGCTTGTTTCTAATCAAATGTATACGAACTGTATGACCCGACCTTTTTCACTGCATATCAAAACATGGTTTGTTTTCACAGTTACTATGCAAAGACTGCAAAAGTAAGTACAGTAAATCTGTCAATGTTTCAGGTTACATAATGTGATTTGTCACTGAGGTTTAAGAAAGAGGGGAGACACAGCTAGCGCTTCTAGGGAGAAACACCTGTCAGACTTACCTGCGAAAGATCACTACGATAGAAGACAGATGGGAAGGCTTGACAGGTGTGTCTGGGGAGAAACACCTGTCAGACTTACCTGAGACAACTCACTACGGAAGAAGACAGATGGGATAGCTTGACTAATGTGTCTGGGGAGAAACACCTGTCAGACTTACCTGCGAAAGATCACCATGGTGGAAGACAGATGGGAAGGCTTGACTAGTGTGTCTGGGGAGAAACACCTGTGAGACTTACCTGCGAAAGATCACTACGATAGGAGACAGATGGGAAGGTTTGACTAGCGTGTCTGGGGAGAAACACCTGCCAGACTTACCTGCGAAAGATCACTACGATAGAAGACAGACGGGAAGGCTTGACTAGTGTGTCTGGGGAGAAACACCTGTGAGACTTACCTGCGAAATATCACCATGGTGGAAGACAGATGGGAAGGCTTGACTAGTGTGTCGGGGGAAAAACACCTGTCAGATTTACCTGCGATAGATCACTATGGTGGAAGACAGATGGAAATGCTTGACTAGTGTGTCTGGGGAGAAACACATGTCAGACTTACCTGCAATAGATCACTGAGGTGGAAGACAGATCGAAAGGTTTGACTAGCGAGTCTGGGGAGAAACACCTGTCAGACTTACCTGCGATGGATCACCATGGTGGAAGACAGATGGGAAGGCTTGACTAGTGTGTCTGGGGAGATGCACCTGAATTGCCCTAGTGTCCCTCTCCTATTCAAAATGAATTCTAGACATAAATATATTACATTTATCAATTGATACAAATGTATTCTCACGTGTCACTGATATTGTAGTTTAATCTAATGATTTTTTTTCTTTGCAATCTACCTGTACAAACTCCAGATATCTAATTGTCAATTAAAAAATATAAATGCCACAAAGATTTACAGATTGCCCCAGTGCCATACAGTATACTTGAAAGTGTATGTATATCCAATAGGACAGATATGTAGACATTACAAACATTTGGCACATTTGATCTTTTTTTTAAATTCCAAAAAATTATACACATAGTCAAACCTGTATTAAGAGACCACCTTCCAGTGATTCATAGTCTGTTTACAGAGGAGGTCTATTATTGAATGTGGTCTCATAATACAGGTTTAACAGGTAACATGATATTAACTGCTATGAGTAGTTTTAAAAGTGGTCCCTTAAAACAAACACATAGACTGTTTACTTAGGTGGTCTTTCAAGCATGTTTTACCACATTTATTAAAACTCCGAACAATTTTTGTCAAATTGGCATAAAAAAGATGATAAAACTTACAATAATCTTGGTCAACACTGCGGCAGTAGACGTGTCTGCTTCTGAAAAATATATCGTTCAATATTAATATATTTTAACTGTCGTGTTATCATCAGTGTTGACATGACAGTTGTGATCGGCGATCGGTTTAAAATCATAATCGATAATCGGTTTGTAATCGAGGAATTAATAAACCAATCGATGATCGATTGCATAATCACTTTATAATTTTTTGGGACTTAAAACCCAAATAAAGTGAGAACACTAACTGTTACATCAATAGACAGAGTTGTTAACTATACATTAGGTTTCGTTCTTTTATAATGAATGAATATCAAGCAAGTTTTATGCATTTTTATCAATCATATAGAATAAATCTTAAGAATATATGACTTTCAAAGCATAATTTACATGTAAGACATTTAAATACTTTGATCTTAACGATGAACCGATAATATCGATGATAGAATTTGTAATCGATGATCGGAATCAGAAAGGGCAAACCAGTCGATTTTCGATTACATGACAGCTACCTACAGTACAATACATGAGGTTTTACTTAAGGACTCCCTGTCCTATTGCAGGCAGGCAAAACACTAAAGAGTTCCATTATAGTTGTTTGTAAAGTAACCTCCCCTCCATTTCGTTTTGGATATTACTGTTGAGCAAGTTGGCTAGGACACTGGTATTGATCAGGACGATCACTTGACTAGATCAACAGTATAATGATTGGAGGTCCAGAATCGGACCCTGGCCTAGCAGCATTGCACTTATACACTCAGGTTACATTCGTGTATCCCGGTTAAAACGGTATGTAATGTTTGGCACAGAAATTTTCCACGATAAACGAACGCACTTGGACCGTTCTATATGCAGACCTAAAAATGCACTGTTTCGGAGAATAAAAAAACAATGTATCAAGAATAATATTCTTTTATCGGTCCATTAAATTACATAACGTATCTTAAAAACTACATGTGACTTGACATTGTTTTAGAAAGAAATAACGCAAATTGGCAATAGTCAGCATTTTAGTTTCGGTCAGGTACGTCTTGACCCCTCAATCTACACATGCCGAATTTTCCCGAGGTCAGCCTCGGTTCAGATATGTGCCTGTCGTTATCTTTATAGGTTCAACCGGTTGAACTGTTTCAACCGGATATGCCAATATACTCTCAGATCACTGTTGTTGATTCGGTTTTGGTCTATTTGATCTTTATCATTCTTTCATACAAGTTCCATTTAAGGCATTATCTTCTCTTCAGAAATGATTTATCAGAGCTATGATTACCATACTAGATAAAACTGTCCATTGAAGAGTTCCATTTTTTTTGCAGTGGTACAGAGATCATTAATGTCACTTAATTAAATTCTCTTTCTGTTATTAATATAAACTTTTCATAATACATCATGGTCATGTGTTTCCAGTGCAGTTACCACGTTATTGTGCACATATAACTTTCATCAACAATTGATTCTGGCCTTGTACGATTTGCCTGTGGATATATCTTGTTTAGTGCAGAGTATTTGTACTCCGAGAACTTACTGTCAAGCCTTTCCTCTGGACTCAGATTCATCTCTGCCTCTCTCTTCTGTCTTCTGGATTTCTCTTCCTGCTGGCTCTTAAACCTAGACTTTTTTATGGGTGGTACACTTGTCAATTCAGGAGGAAGAACTAAAAAAAAATCAAAGAATAGTTTTTATACACTTTCCGTCAGGTTCTAACATATTACTTATGAGGTAACAGATACTGATGATTTACACCAGGCTACCAATTTAAATTAAAAACCCATAACGAAAATCATTAAATGTCATAGTCACCATTGTGTACACTGAAATAATATCAAAAAGAAAACTGAACATATTATGAAGAGTATGATTTACCTGATGAAGTTTATAATCTACATGATGAAGTTTATGATCCACATGATGAAGTTTATGATCCACATGATGAAGTTTATGATCTACATGCATGCTGATACATACATTAGTTCATCTTTTTTTAAATCTGTTGATAAGGGGAAATAATCTAGAATCTCCCATGATTTCAGTATTGTTTTGTGTACAATTTGATTTGTATATTTACCATCCATGTTAACCACATCCCGATTTGTGTCTTCCTCCTCAGTGGCAGGTTTGCTGTCATCAGAAGTACTGGTTTTGCGTTTGTCTGGGCGTTTGAATATAGTGACTCCTGGCTTTTCCTTGTTCGCCATGAATTCTTTTTGGAATTTTAGGAGATCTTCCTCCGTGTCACCTGGTTTAGGTCTAGGAAACATCTTTGTTAATATCTACAAAAGACAATCTTTTTGTACAAAACTGTGATTATTACTTTTCATCAAAACATCTTCATTTAAACAATCATCATACTCTTATTTTGTTTGATCATATTCAGTTCCTGAATACTCCTTCTTTGTATGGAAGTTGATATTACTTTGATGTGGATTTGTCAGAGGAAATAAAAGTCCTTATTCAAGTTTATCAAGTTGCTTAACTTTTTTTGGATGCAATTACTTATTCAGGGATATTCTTATGGAGGGATTTTAAATCATAAATCTGTGATCATGAAAACTCAAAAGGTTTTTTTAATAAATGCACAGTTCGTATGAAGTGACTAAAGCAGTGACGTTATAATGTTTTGATAACACTGTGTTTCAGAGCAGTTATTACATGATGATGATGTATATACCCAATGTACATTTGACATTTATACAGAGAGGTAATATTTGGACACTTTCCATGCACACTAGCTCTTCTCCTTATAGGTTCCAGCCCTGGATGGTTTTGGAGAAGAACAAAAAGTCCCTCAACCACCTCTTGTTCTTAAACATTAATGTCATGCAGTCTCTGGTGCTTTCTGCGCAGTTTGAGGGGATGTAGTTTTAGGTCTTCCGACATCCTTTCTACTGATCTTTGTTCCCGGTCTTTATAATTCCTAGTGATAAATCTAGCAGCATGTTTCTGGATTATTTCGATTTAATCTATTCAGGTACAATGTTACAGTTATCTTAGAAAATTTCATAAAGGAACGAGACAGGGAATTTAGTTCACTTGAAAGTATTTATTATATTAAATATGTATGTTTCAAGAAAGACCCACTTAAAAGGGTTTTATTTTTCGCCAAAACAATTATTGAGATTTGGCGACATTTCTGTCCACGTAAACACAGGGGCTCGGTTTCGGGATATTTTTGGTTAGTAATAAACCTATACACACCAGTAAATAACAGCAACACTTCTTATCCGGTGTTTATCAGTTTATACACATTCTAAAACCTTATAAAAATTGAGGGTACCGAGGTATAAAAAAAAGTATTACCTCGGTACCCTCAATTTTCATAAGCCTTAAGAATGTGTATGAACACCGGATAAAAAAGTGTTGCTGTTATTTACTGGTGTGTAAAGGTTTATCCGTTTATTACTAACCGAGCCCCGGTGCCCGTAAACAGCGAAACTCCCCGGTCGATAAATCATAGAGGAGGCGGTAGACAGTAAGCACCTTTTAACGTCTTCCGCTACAGATGTTAAAACAGTATCCACAACAACAAAGTCGTTGTCATCAACTTAATTGATAGGACTATATCAAATGTAAACACAAAACAGAAATAACCACGTCTTGTAACTGCGCGCCACCATATTGGGAATGCCCGGATGTATATGACACTACCCTAATGCTACATGCTCTCAAAAGCCCGGATGCATACTCGCGTTAAGCAAATTCCTACTTCCGGTGTTTCCATAACGACGTGGTCAAGCTGAGGGTAAGTCCTGTCAAATAAGTAAAAAAGATCAGAAAAAGACCTTTTCGGTGCTTAAAATTTATGAAATGCTGATTATTTTAGCACAACTCTTATTTAGAAAACGCTTTGGGGCCTTTTATATTTCAAATGGATTTTAAATACTGACAAACTTATCAAAGGAGACATTTAAAAACACTTCAGCAGGACACTGGTCACAGCCTTGCAATGTTCCTTAAAATACAGTACTCAACATCTAGATCTGTATGTTTCCTGGTGTTGACAGCCGCAGCATATACATAATTGTAATCATCTTATTTGGTTAATAATCAAATAAAATGTTTAACGAATCGTTAAAACTGGTAGCAAACCGTGTAGGCTTACAGTGTTACCATGCGATATGTATATAAAGTGACATAGGTTGCCAACCTCTGACAACATCCAGTTACAGGTACATCTACTAGGCCTAGTACTAGTCTCCTCTGTCAACATCCAGTTACAGGTACATCTACTAGTACTAGTCTCCTCTGTCAACATCCAGTTACAGGTACATCTACTAGTACTAGTCTCCTCTGTCAACATCCAGTTACAGGTACATCTACTAGTACTAGTCTCCTCTGTCAACATCCAGTTACAGGTACATCTACTAGTACTAGTCTCCTCTGTCAACATCCAGTTACAGGTACATCTACTAGTACTAGTCTCCTCTGTCAACATCCAGTTACAGGTACATCTACTAGTACTAGTCTCGTCTGTCAACAAATCTGACGTCACTGTTCAACAGTTGGTACATACGCTACCCAAATTAGTGCATGACAAAAAAAAAGTTTTTAATTGTACTTAAAAAAAAAAATTAATTATTTTCTGATGCCACCAAAAAACTTTCTTTTCGGTTACATTTTAATAGTGGACCACAATGACTTCAAAGTAAGCATATCTGATAACCAGAGAAACCAAAGTATGTCGGCAACATTTTGTAGGGGGTAAATATAGGTATGCTTAAATGTTTGTTTCTGGTCCTTTATAACCAAGTAATAAATAAGTGTACAGTATACAAGATACAAGAATATTTATTTTCCGCTGATTTTGTAAAACATACAACATAAGCTACAAAGAGCTTGTATTGTATATATATGATAAAATAACTGTAGTGCAGTATAGTATAAAAGTGGTATATTTTGTTGCAATCTGAGATTGAACATCACCTTAATGAAATAAACAAAAGTTCATAGCCTGTGCTATTGTGTACCATTTTGGGTACTAATCATCACCAAAAAAACAATGAAATCTCACTCTGAGTTCAGTGTTCTATTTTTGAAGCATACGGGTGACACAACCAGGGTCTCTTGAATGGTAATCGCCTGTCGTACCCACCACTGTGGGTAGTCTTTGTCATGAATCAACAAACTTTGATATATGATCTAGAATTTTAAATACCATTGAAAAACTGTCAAAATTGTACCAATTGGGGTCCACATTAGTTTGTATTACAGGTGTATCAAAAGACAATGCAAGCTACCTGTGATTCAGTCGTTGGCTCGGTACCGGAACAAGTTTTGCTTAAAAGTCTTCAAAACAGATATAAGTTATTTACATTATTGTATATCATATCGTTTGTAAAACTTTTTGTAAAAGATTTTCAGCAGTTAAGTAAAGTAGAACGACAACTTAACTTTTGGTTGATTCTGAAATTGCTTTGCTACAAGTACAGCTAAATCATATATATTGATTGAGTTGAATCAAGCCATACAGAACTTATGTTTTAAGTTTCAGTTTTATGTACAAGTGTATTCATGGTTATCAATGCATTATCGTCGATCAACTGTTGTGCTTTCAGGATACTCAAAATGGCGGATGCTGATCCAACGGCAGATGGAGGGGAAAAGGCTGGAGAGGAAGAGGCCAAGAGCACCCGTAGTGGCCCAAAAAGTCAAGGAGGATCCAAGCCTGCTTCTAGAGCTGGCTCTGCACAGTCAGGGAAAAGTGGCAAAAGTGGAGCCGGAAGCAAAAAGGGCGCCGTCCCACCATCCCCATCGGGTTCTGCAAAGGACAATCCAGCAGCTGATTGGAGAAACATGAGGCGCATTATTGCAGAAGATTCTGAATGGTCGCTGGCTACAGTGCCACTACTGGTTGAGCTCTGCGTGAAACACATTGTCACAAATTTTGAAAGTAAGATATATACTTTTTATCCTCTTATATATTTAATTTACAAAGTCCTAGAAATTATCTATTGTTGATAAATATATGCAATATAAACATTTTCTTTGTTATTCATTCTAACAAGTCTTTTTGTCTGTTTCAGATAATGCAAAAATATTAGATGATTTATTGCCAAAACACAAGTTAAGAGTGCTTGAGAGAATATCAACAGACCTGCCCTTGAAAATAACAGCAAATCTGGTTGACGATGAAGGATACTGGAAAAGGTGTTGTAAAGCCCGCTGGGAAATATGTGATGTGGCTGCTTATGGCAACAACTGGAAAAGGATGTACTTTGAACGGAACCTGCAGTCCATTGTTGAAAATTTCATCCCTGAAACAACAGACATATCAGAACTGAATGATACCCTTCCCCTATCTGCAAATTATGTTAAAAAAATTGATATCCGCCAGTTACTTCCACCTGTCAGGGAAGCTCCAAAAGGACCTGACTTTGATGATTCCTCGGATGCCGGGAGTGATACAGGAGACGAACCGGAGTGTGACCACTTTAACTTTGGTCCTGTTCTCAAACTTCTCCCAAACATTGAGGAACTTCATCTGACGTATGGGGTGAAAGACTGTGGAATGAACTTTGAATGGAATCTGTTTAACTTCACAGCGAGAGACTGTTTACAGCTAGCACAGTGTGTTGCTGCCTGCAAGGGACTCAAAGTGTTTAGACTTCACCGGAGTAAAGTGGATGATGACAAAGTTCGTGTTCTCATAAGTCACATTCTGGACCACCCTGGACTAACTGAGCTGGACTTATCACACAATCTGATTGGTGATCGTGGTGCCCGAGCTGTTGGCAAGTTTCTGAACAATCACAGCCAACTGGTAAAGCTGAACCTTTGTGATAATGACATTCGACCCGCTGGAGCACAGGCAATTGCTCACGCTCTTACCAAGAACACTACCCTAGACATGTTGAACCTGCGACTGAACCGCCTCGGAGATGAGGGAGGCCAGGCCATCTGTCGCGCCTTGTTACGTAACAGTACACTGGCAACTATCAATCTTGGAAGCAATGATATGGCTGAACCTACCGCAGCCATCCTATCACAGGTCGTCATACAGAACACAACACTCAGGTCTATAGATCTCACCTGCAACAAACTCGCTCAGGTAATATTGCAAAGCTATTATATATACATACGGGGATAATTCTATAACATTTTATGACCTCTTTTGGCTTAGGCAGCATTATTTGGAAGGGGGGGGGGGGTCTTTCCCCTCCAAAATTTCTTAAAACAACTTCTTCTAAACTGTTGATTAGAGTTTGACCAAATTCAACTGGAAGCATCCCTAGGTGGTGGGGATTCAAAATTGGAGAGGCTGATCCCCCAGCCCCACCCCAGCGGCTGAGAGGCAGGGCCAAAAAAGTGTTATTTTGCCATATTGCTTTAAGCGACCATTTCTGGTACTAAGAAATGGATATCAACCATATTTTGCTGGCCATATTGCTTTATGTAACCAGTTGATGTATAACGACCGTATTTGGTTAGAAGTATTCTCAGAAAGGGGATACAATATCTATTGAACAATGAAGGGACTGACCCCTGCTGGGCTGAGGGACGGGGCGAAGATGTGCTTATTTGGCCATATTTATATAAGCGAATTCTCTGAAAAAAGTGATGGACATCTGCTGTATTTGGTAAGAAGAATTCTCAGCTAGTTGGGATTCAAAATTGTACAGACGGAGGGACTGACATCCCCTGGCTCTTGGGTCTGGCCACACCGCTAGGAATTAATTCCTGGGCCATCACTTTAAAATGGTTGAGACCCCTACCCTATAACTAAATATACAAATGCTTGGCATATACAAATAAACACAATCATGATATGAGAATTGATTCTTGCGTCGAGCACTACCCCAAGGGACTTAATTCTTGGGCCATACGTTTGAAATGGTTGAGGTCCCCACCCCAGAATCATATATATACCATTGCTGTATCAAACTTGTAACACAATCATGATATTAGAATTGATCCTGAGGTCTGTCCCTACCCCTAGGGACTTAATTTCAGGACCATAACTTTGAAAGGGTTGAGATCCCTAACTAATTGCCAAATATACTATTGCTTGTCATAAAGATCCAGACGAGCGATACAGGTCCTCTTGGACTGTTGGTATTGTTATGCTGCACATGTGACCAAGTATACATACATGTGCACTGTAGGCCTACTCATTTTATTTTTTTTTAGCTGCTATTGATAACATATTCTGTTTATATAAACATGGTGACTGTTTAAATACATAAAACATGAAAACAATATTTGAGGTTTTATTTACAAGTTAAGCTTATAACGATGATGTATATTTGTGTTACAGGATGGTGGTAAACAGATACAGGAAGGTATGGAGGACAACACCACGATAACTCACATGGACTTGACTCTGACGGACAGCGGCCAGGAGGCAGAGTACTGCATCAAACAGATTCTCCATCGCAACCAGGAACGTGAACGCGAATCGAAAATCGTCGACCAGGCTCCACCATCGAAGAAAATACAACCACAGGCTGCCCATAGGTTTAAGCCAATCGTGCAGAAAGCCTAGATTATAAACATGATAGTGACACTGAAGCCTGAACTGGTGATAGGTTTTATGAAGACAATGATGTGTGGCACTGATAAAGATTGAAACTTGCTGATCAACTTACAAATGCAGCTTCCTTGTCAGAAACATGCAATTATATACCACACTTTTGTACTACAAAATGATAGGGGTAAAATGCATTTTTGAGTACACGTGTGGCGTTAGTAGTAAGTTGTTGATGTGTAATTTGAGAAAAGGTACATTCCACACTGTTCATGAGGATGAGGTTGGGTGGGGAATTTGGGGATGTTAAGAAGGGGAATATAAGTACCTTTTTATGTAAAGAGGAACAACGTTATTGGCCTGTTGTAGTGTAAACAATAGATGGATAAAAAGTAGTGCAAAATTATTATTGAAGTTAACAATATTGCTTAAAGGGTTATGTATACAGCTCATGAAAAATAATGGGAAAAGCCTTGTTATAATTCAACAAAGCACCCTTTTGATATTAATGATGTGAAGAAAAATATATTGTATTGTCACTCCTTTTATATATTCTTATGTGAATTTCTTCGTTAGAAACATTTACCAAATATATGACTTGAATGCAGTACAATTGTGCTAATTTATTTACAACTCTAGAGTGTGTTATAACTGCTAGTGTATATATGTGTATATATATATACATGTGTCATGCACAACATTCATTCTCTAGGGGTATCTTATTATGTACCTTGATGATGGAACTATTTTGTTAATAAAATTCATAACTTCATCAGAAATTTTTGTCAATGATTTTATTTTAAAACTCAACTGGCCCAAAGGGCCTAGTGAGCTTATGCTGTAATGCGTAATTTACAACATTTTAGACTTTTATAGTTACATGTGTCTAGTATAGGGTCCACATCTCCTACACCAAACTCTTTAACATTCAGACACAAAAAAAGTACAAATCACACATTATTCATGCATATTAATTGCTCCCTAGAAATCAATATATAACAATTTAAATCTTTTATTTTCTCATTGTTTATCTAGCAACACAGAGTTTACAGTAGGGTTGACAACGGTTAGCTGGTTAGCCAGGTAAACGGTTACTCGGTCGGAAAACACAAAACGGTTACTGAAATAAATAATCAAATAGTCAGACATTTACTTACTTACCCCTTCGGGGAGCCCCATGTTTCCCTGGCTTAGACCTACAAATTATCTTTAGATGCGACCAAAATCGGATGGTTTGGTAATAAAAGAAGTGTTCGGGGATTACATGTTAGTTATAATTTTGTACTATATTTTAAATACTGACAAAGAGATGTCGCCAACACCATAAAAAATCTGAACAAATGTTAAAAGGAAGCCAGAATACAAAATTGTGAAATATGAACTTTAAGAACCCGCTTTTACATGCCAGATGTAAATATAATCTGAAGTGTTCACGCTTGAATGGACAAGCATGTCTTAAAACGTGTGTCAAGCAAATTTTCTTATAAACAGCAATATTACCGCATATAATTTCAAGCACGTATAACTAATTGAATCCCACCTTACTGTATTCCGACATTTGTTGTTCATGAAATATACTTACTGAGGTTACATGCAAATATTTCCTGCGTCTAGCTTGAAATACGCGAGTAAACTATCATGCTAATTAATATATATATGTACATGTATGTTTGTGGTGTAAATAGGTTATATAGAACATTTTCTACACATATATATTGTATTTGTTGCTGTTTATTATTAGATTACCAAATTGACCGATTTTAACAGTTACTCGATCAGAAGATTTTCTGAGTAACCAGTTACCAAAATATGACCAGTTTGACAACCCCAGTTTAAAGACTGATTTGTTTAGCTCACCTGGCCCAAAGGTCACAGGGGTCAATTATCTTAAAAAACTTCCAAATCACTTCTTCTGAATAACCAGAAAGCCCAGGATGATGATATTTGGCCAGTAACATGCTGGGATGAAGGGTTACCAAGTTTGTTCAAATGAATGATCTTAACCTATATTCAAGATCACAGGGGTCAAATATGTTTTAAACCTTTAAACAAGTTCTTCTGAATAACCAAAAAGCCCAGGGTGATGATATTTGGCCAGTAGCATGCTTTGATGAAGGATCACACAGTCTTCAAAATTAATAACTCTGCCCTTTATTTCAAGGTCATAGGGGTCAAATATATTTTAAACCTTTAACTGACTTCTTCTGAATTACCAAATGCCAACATTGTTGATATTTAGCCAGTAACATGCTTTTTTTCATTTTAATCACCTTGACCCTTACTTTGTTCAACGTAATGACCTTGTTCGACTTTTAAAGTCACAGGGGTCAAATGTTTTTAAATCTTTTAACAAGTAACTCTTTTGAATGATTTATAGTCATAAATACTGATATTTTGCATGTATAGCTTTATTTTAGTCAGCTTCTAAGTTTACAAGTTTGAGAATAATACCAGGTGAGCGATGCAGGCCCACTCAGGGCCTCTTGTTATTTTTGTAAACAGTAATTTTGGTAGCTTAAAAGTCATAAAATACATTATCATCATCCTGTTTCTGAATCAAGTTACTTGAGCAACATTAATTGTATACATATACAACATTTTCTGGATATTTTATCTGAAAATAACTACTAGCCACATACTATCATTACTGTAAGTACTTGACAAGAGCCCACACTATCAGGTTTGAACACTTAGTTTGTTACACTGGAGGACCACAGGTCACAAGGCAGAGGTGTAAATGCTAAAAACGCAAGTTGCAGTTTATTGAGTTTGGTGGCATGTTCCTAAAGGAATTTTTGAAATCTAGGTGTTCCGAAGAGAATATCAACAGCTAAGATCATTAAAGGACATGCCTCCATCTGTGTTATGTATGCGTGTATGTGTGTGTGCCGGAGACAGGGTATGTTGATGTACTTGCTTCCTTGTGATAGTCGGATCTGATGCCGAGTTTAGAGTGCTGTCTCACTGAAATACCATGCCGAAGGCACCAAGCACAGCATTCCGCCCGGTAACATTATACTGACAACAGGTGAACCAGTTATTGTCATTACCCTAATTGCTGAACATTAAGCAGGAAATAACAACTACCAGTTTTAAAGAATTTGGTATGTCCCGGTCTGGGGACAGAACCCATTGCCTTCCTCACCTTGGCGAACGTTCATCATTTAAGCCGAAAGTGAGGTGTTGCCAAGCAAGGTGCTAGGAAATAAAATGTAGTTATAAGTAGAGAGAAAAATTAAGATCCCAACTATTGCAATTGGTGCAGCAGATTTATTTTGGTCGCGTTTGCTTCCCGAATTAGAGGTCACAAAAGCGAATCCCCAATTATGCAGGGGATTCTCACCTTAGTCGCCTCGTACGATACATGCATTGGGATTCTTTTCTCGATCAATCTCTCTTCAGTTTGTTCCTCATCTTCACAATCTGTTCTTTAATCATTTTAAAACCCCTTTGTAACTGTTGTCCATAGTTGATCATAATAATTTTCCACTTTATTTTTAAAAACCCACGCAACCATCCGCCTGTGGTATAAGTAAAACCTTCATTATCACTGTAAATTTTAGAAGTTATAGAGGTACTGGGAAGTTGTGATGTGACTTGAATAACTTATAGAAGTAACTAACCTCATTAAAATCGATCAGCTTTCTCAAACATGCTTCCTATAGACAATATATTTCCCTTCGTCACACTCGCTGGACCTTTGGTGTGGTCAAACACTGACCAACGTGATACGATAAGACATGAACCCTAGGGATAAATACTAATACACAATGAGGGCGAGAGTTATCGTTCATTGAAACGTCGCTTTTAATATCAGTTTTCTATACAAAACTTTTTTCTGTATTTCCTTAGGCAAGCTCGAGAGCTTCCTTCTCATAAATGCTTATTCTATTCTATTCTATTACAATCGTTTGAAAGTATTATCACAAAGTTTCAAGAAACATCACAAAAGGTGAAAAGTATGTATCAAGTGTATAGTATCACTAAAGATTTATAGATTATTATATTCAACTTTGGAACAGTCACCCGTATCAATGGTGTAACGTACGAACCAGCGACCAAGCTTGGCGTTGCTGAATTGGTGAGCGCATCTTAGGTTATTTACCGCATCGCTGGAACTAGCTTGCCAGTAAGACAGTATTCCCCCTCTTATTCCTTGGCTGTTAAACTGATTGGGAAGGTAAGTCTTCGGTAGCTTTGTTTATCAAACGATCGTCGCTACAAATTTTGCTATAATATCCGACTGCTGATATACTGGAATCATCTTCTTAGAAGTAATCGTTCAAGACTCTTTTACACTAATTTTCCTCAATTATAAATAAATGTTTTCTGAGAAACATTTATTATCAATGTTGTGTCAGCAAAGTTGTCATAGTATATTTATATAATTAGCGCAAAATGTGCCAAATGTAGTTACTTCCATTTCGTTCGATTCGTAGGCAGAGAAAGGAACATGAAACGGGTCAGTGAAGACATGTCTGTATACACGAGACATTCTAGGGACGGGCAAGTGAGGAGGTAAAATATGGAGATTGATAGGACTCCTACGTATGTTTCATAATGGTAGTAGTGAAAAACGATTCCCACATCACTTTAAAGAGAAATTGATAGAAATTATGTGGGCGTTTGCTCTTCGCTGTGAATTTGAATATTATATTGAAAAAACACGGCATTGTCACACTTTGCATATGTTGTAATTACTTCATAGTTAGAGTGAATATTGGTAGAGCGGAAAATAATCGGTCATAGCAAAATTGAAGGCACGAAGATAGCTGTTTGATTGGTGACAGGTAAAAAAAACTGGCCAATCGTTAGGCTGATACCTGTCCTTTGAAGATTACAAAGGAGAGACGCCCGACCTCAAAGTCTGTCAATTTTTACCGTTACGTGACCGCGAGATTCTTTTGATGTACATCAAAGGATCGAACTAGTATTCTTGTCTCATCACGAGTTGGCGCACACCGAGCCTTCAATTTTGCTATGACATAATCAAGGGGTGTAGAGAGCGAAAGTGAGCGTGTAACCCCTTGATATCGAGGATGGTGACTACCTCACTTTAGACAACTTTTGGTCGCTCGAGCAAGACTTTAACCGCCATTGGCGAGCAGGTGACCGTCCATTTCAGGCATTGCTGCACAACAAGGGAACAAGGGGATCCCTCCCGTACTTCCCGACAAATAGCGATTACAAACGTTCACTATCAAAATCAAATATGGCTGTCTGTCGGCCATGTTGTTTATCTGATCAATCTCAAAAGTTGCCCTGCACAGCTAGGAAACAAGGAAGAAAGATCCCTCTGGTACTTCTTGAGAAATACCGATAACAAGAACTGTTTAAGGACGACGGACGGACGACGGACCACGGACGCAGTGTGATTTGAATAGCCCACCATCAGATGATGGTGGGCTAAAAACGCAAACTAGCAATAGACAGCATTTTAGTTTCGGTCAGGTACGTGGGACCTCTCAATCTACACGTGCCAAATTTTCCCGAGGTCAGCTTCGGTCAAGATATGTGTCTGTCGTTTTCTTTACAAGTTCAACCGGTTCAACCGTTTCAACCGGATATGCGAATGTAACAAGTAACCTTAGATAAAAAAAAAAGTTTTTGTGAATGTTGAGAGCTTTTGTGTAGAGGCTGCGATGGTTCCTCTATTAAAAACACTGGCACTGCTTCAATTGAAATATGCGATGTGAGACATAGGACCTTTCTCCACAGAGATGACAAAGCTCCTTAGTGAAACAAGTTGTATCGATGAATATTCTACGATTTCACTGCC